TGCTTGATAATGCTGCCTTGAGAAATGAGGTAATACAGATTTAGAAAGAGACCCAGCCCATTCTCCCCCTCCCTGCCACATTACCAGTGTTCTTTGAGTCTGATTTTACTCAAGGGTGGCCAGAGGTTTTAATGAGTTATTCTCAGGGGTCTGCATTGCTATTTAACATGACAGAACTGCAAATCATATCGATAAAAAAATCTCCTAAGCCATTTTGAACTGCTCATGCAATGGGACCCTGCTGTGCTACTTGAGAACAATAATTTTTCCCAGCTCCTCCTCTCTCAGGATCCAGTTATGGATTTGGCCTAACATTACATCCCCCAGGCCACTAGCCACGTTATTTTAATTTAATTTAAGGAAGGCTACAAATAGGTCAGCACAAACTAAGGGAATTAGCTGTTCAAATCAAAATGAAAATCGATTGGGAGCCATATTCTCATAGACTTTGGAAGCTCTCTCCTAGTCCTTACATACAAGCTCTCTAGGTTTTGAATCAGTTTTCTGAATATCTCTGCATCTTCTTAAAGCGATGCCATCTTTCAGATGATGTAATCTGTGGCTGGTACCAGAGCTGAGAAGATGCATTCCCTCCATTCTAACACCTCTATGTAATATGGAAACTCCTGGGAAGAAAAGGACAGCATTCAGGAAATGTTTCAATTTTTCATTGATGTAATAGTTTAAAAATCACCAAATTGTCTTTTTCTTCAGGTTTCAGCTTCCAGGTTGAAAACGATAATTTTTTTCTAACAAAAATCTGAAAAAATCCTCTCATAATAATCTTAACATTGTGAGATATATATATATATCTCAAAACCAATTAGTCCCTTTCCTTCCCATCATAATTTCTCACATAGATTCTGAAATCAGAATACTTTGGTCATCTAAGCCTACCTGCTATTTGGAAACCAATGTATAGGATTAGGATTTTACTGTTGTCCCAGTAAATGTTCCTTGTTCATAAGTCAAAATAGTTTGATCTTAAAAATAGGTTACTGAATCCTGGCACCAAACACAGGGGTAGATGCTGTGCATAAAATAGGGAAAGCCAAGCAATTTGCTCTTAGGAAAAAAAAAAATCAGTCATTTTTGCCTATGAAAACCTAAAGAGTTTATTTTGTTTAACACAATTTGAACTGCATCTGTTAATTTTTATTTGGAATATGAGTTACATGGTATTATTCTGCTTTTATTCTTTCTGCTGGGTGACCTTGGAATAAGGTTTATAGATGTTAATGCTCAGAGACTGCTTTCTCTGACCAGTTTCTCAGAGACAGCAGTGTGAAGGCCCAGCTCCGGACTCTATGAGCAACAGTGTGCCTCCACTGTCAAGTGGTCAAGAACGACAGACCAACCCAGATACCCTGAAGAGCTGTTGGAATGGTTCAAAGGCCAAGATGTCAGGAGCTTCCCTGGGCATGACCAAGGTATGGCTGGAGTACCCATGTTTGTTCTAACCCTGGCAGTACAGCTCCAGACACAGACCATGCCAGCTCTCCTGGATCTCTGCTCATGGACTTGGTAACTAGCAGACACTCAAGTTTTAATATGATATTCAGGCAAGCTCAGCTCGAGCCAGTGCAAGTATGCCTTCCTACATTGCAATCAAGCTTCCTACTGCAGGGTAGATATGGCAAGCACTTCAAAAAGACTCTATTTATATTGTGCCCTACTGGTAAATTCATTCGTTGGACCACTCATGCAAAATGGATAATGCAAATGAAACTGCTACATTTGGAATTAAGCTTATTTTCATACTCCAGTGAACATGAGTGCATTAGATTGGGGTTTTTTTCTTTTTTTTCTTTAGGGTGTTCACCCAGCTGTAGTCCCCAGAGCAGTTATTTCAGATCCTGCAGATCCAGGGAAGGATGTCAGAGTAGTCCACTGCTGAGGCAGAATAGTGCAGGCACTTCAAACCACTGGCTCTCGAGCCCACAGACTCATGACTAGCATTGATCTGGAACTGATGAGTGTCTGGCTGTTTTACAGCACTGCGGCCTTAGAGAAGGCTGCTCTCCTCACTGCAGGGTGAGTGATAAATGCATGCAGAGCATGGACAATTGCAGGGGAAGAAACAGAGGGGCTCGCTGTGAACTCAGAAAGTGACCACTTATCCCTGTACTCACCCCGAGTTAAATGAATGCACAGACGTAATGTTCATCTAGGAGGCAGAGTAAGTAGATTAACATTTCTGTGTGTACCGGATCCCCCTCTCCTCCTCATAAAGGACCCAGAGTCTCAGCACAAGTTAATAGCAGGGAGCTAAGTTTCCCATGGCAGCAGTGACTGCTCCATCAAAAGTCACTGCATAAGCTCAGGACAGGCGAGCAGGGATGCTCTGTCCAGACACAACGTGACACATACCCTCTCTGACTAGTCCATCCACTTGTATTAACTCTGCCTCAGACTGCCCTACACAGATTCCCATAGTTTGCGCACATACTCTTCTCCAGTGGACCAGTGTGCCTTAGTCACAAGTTACTTGGTCATATACAAAGCGTCTATGGGAAAAGAAAACAATCTAGCAGATGAGACATAGAGTGGGATAGTGTGGGAGAGCAAAGGAGAATGGAAGTTTTCAGCAACCCCTTCTTCCAAAAGTCGTTCTTTAACTCTGCATAGCAACCTGTCCCTTGTGTACATCCAGAGCAAGTCCAGCGCACCACTTCTCCATCCTACAGGAATGTGGAAGGAATCCTACTGGTCTAGTGGAAGGTGTCCCTGCCCATGGCAGGGGGGTTGGAACTAGATGATCTTTAAGGTCCCTTCCAACCCTAACCGTTCTATGATTCTATGATTCTATGAATTAACACTTTCAGATCACCACTGCTGATCTGTGCAGTGAGGAAAGATGAAAGTGAACTTTCAGAAATCAATCATCTGTAGGCATTTCAGAGTAAGAGGAAGAAAGAACTGTCAGTGTGATTCCAGGGAGCACAACTATTTACTGACATGCAAAGATGAAGAACTTCTCTTCCCCATCTCCTTGCTTTGTAGCATGCACTGCACAGACAAGGGATCACCTCTTCTCCCAGCTTCCCTCCCACAGTGGAGAAGATGGAAAACCTCCTAGTAGCATACTCTGGGAAACTTCTGCTTGGGTCGAGCCCTGCTTGAAAAAAAGACTATCATGTTTGCTCTGCTGGGCTCTGCAATGCATAACAGTGTCTGCATTGCAGTCTGAAACTGCAATCCAACACCATCTGTCCCTTTCACTTGCAGCACTGCATTACTCCAGGAAGTCTGGTCTTCAGGGGGTCCAGAGAGCGCTTGGCTGTGCTGGCCCCCAGACTCACGACAGTCAGCAAAAGGGCAAAGTGCCCCCTTATTTGTATTACGAGACTGAAACTAGAAATGGCTGCTCAGTGACACTGGATGAGGAGCAAGGCAGGGAAAGGGCGCTGGTTTGTTTTCATTTCATGATTTTGTAAAGCAAATTCAGCAACAGCAAATACACTTAAATCCTCTTCAACCACCTTATGGAAAGGAAGTCAAGGAGCAGAGACAAGGAAGTGTAGAGCTCTGCACTGCTGTGACTACTAGTAAATCCGTATGAAGGAGCTACTTTAACAACGGCCTAAGCCACCACCTCGCCTTTCCTGAGCATTCTTGGATTAGAGGACAAGGAAGCACTGCAACCAAGGGACAAAACAACAGACCTGGGGGTACTTCATTGCTCTGCTCAGTCTCTGACTTACTGAGTCACACTGGGAAAAACACTTCGCTTTATCTCCATCTCCCTGTGCACCTTCCTGCCAGCCTGTGCTATGAAGCAAATTAACGTAGTAGTGGATTCTTCAGGGCTGTAGCCATCTCTCCCTATACATCTGCACAGCACCTTATACAATCTCATCCCAAACTTGAGCAAGGCATTATGCTCTGCTGTAAGTGAAGCATTCACAAATTATAACACTATAAACATGAAGCCTGAAATCTGTAAAGTATGCACCAGTGCTCTCCCTCTGAGTATGCACCAGTCCCTCCCTCTGATGCTGGGAGAAGGACACTGTTCGGCTCTATCATGAATTAGTGTTCTGACAGCTCAGTGCAATCTATCCATGACTTGCATGGCTGCTTTCCCTTCACATTCCCAGGAGCACACTCTGCATTAGATCATGCTCTGCATCAGGCTCTGCTCCAAAGAAGAAGAGGAGGTATGGGGAGGAAGATGAAATTGCCTTGACCAGCTTTCCTTGTCCTGAAAATACGCTCCTGACATGTGGAGAAAGCTGCAGGGAGCTTTCTCTTTGCTTTGGAGAGCATGAAGACAGGAAAAAAAACCCTAATTTCCAAGCTATCTGTAAGGTTGTGGATTCAGTCACATTATGCCTGACAACTCACCCTGCGTATTGCAGTTACCCTGGGAACAGCACAGCGTTCAGGGGTAGTGGGGCTCTTGCCTTTCACCAGACTTTTATGTCTTTAGAAAGACCCAGTTTATCTGCAGATTGCATTTCTTTCCTCTTCCCCTTAACATAGTGTCAGAGACTTTAGAAGCAAGAAGGTTATAAATACATCACCAAACAATTTATTCAAGGGATAAACACATAAAAAAGATGCTTGGGTAAACAAATGCCACAGGTTCTGCAAATGAGCTGTCTCTAGAGCTTTCCTCTGACCTGTTTCTGGACCTTTTGGGGCTCTGAGAGGGCAAGAGCATGCTGTCTGGCTAACTGCTACACTCACAGGCAGCTCTACAACCACACACTTCCTGTACGGGGTCCACCTGTACTCACTCCCCTCCCAGCCCACGCACCATCTCCACAGATTATATGTATTATTATCGTGAAGCAGATAGTACAGTCCTAAGTGACTACATAACAATATGTTGAAGACCCTCTTGGGAATCTGCTAAAAGCAAAGCATTACGCTCAAGACAGTATTCACACTGGCATAAAGTAGGAAAATGGGCATTCAAAGAAAGCACTTTTGTGTAATACCATCGTAAGTGGAGAAAAGATTTAGGATGCAAGTGCATCCCAGCCTCTGCTCACCTCCTCCCACTGATGAATATAGCGGATGAGCCGGGAGAGCCGCAGAAGCCGCAGAAGGCTGAGGATCTTAGTGAAGCGCACGATGCGCAGTGCTCGGGCTGTCTTGTACACCTCGGAATCAATGCGGGTTTCAACAATCAGGAAGATATAGTCCACAGGGATGGAGGAGATAAAATCTACCACAAACCAGCTCTTCAGGTACTTCATCTTGATCCTCTGTGGGTCTAGGATGATCTCTGTGTTGTCCTCCACCACAATGCCTGTTCGGAAGTTGAGGACAAGGTCGATGAGGAAGAACGTGTCTGAAACCACATTGAAGACAATCCATGGGGTAGTGTTTTCATCCTTGAAGAAAGTGATGCCCACAGGGATGATGATCAGGTTCCCTACCATCAGGAGCAGCATGGTCAAATCCCAATAAAACCTGGACAGCAAGACAGACACATGTGAGATCAGGTATAGAGTGGGAGATTAGGGAGCCCAGGACAACAGAACTAATGTGCTTTATACATCTCTACTGTCATTCATTCCCTATGCTCTACCAGTCTGCCTGATGTACACAGAGTGCACAAGGTGCTAATTAAGTACTTAGTATCACAGGAACACTCATCTTCTGCCTCACAGGGTCTGAAAGGAATTGAGTCCATGGGTGGACATGCCTGCTTGGAAACTTTGACTGGGACTTCAGAGCCACCCAAGAAGAGACTGACATACTTGCAGTGGCTACAAAGACTGTTAGGTGAAGAGAGAGGGAGAACAAGTGTTTGAACGGCCTCAGACTTTGTGTGCCAATAAAGCCGTTTGGGGTTAAAATCATTAGCCTTGCTCCTACTGTCTGATCCATCTTTAGAAGCAGCTAACACTGACAGCATTGGGATCAGGATGGAATTGGAGGCTGCGCTGTGATCTACAGTGTTCAGTTTAGATTTCTTGCTCAGCCAAGCTTACACTGAGCCTGGACTTCAGGAGTTTAGTCTGCGCTCTATAGACTCCTGTGTTGTACAGAAATAATCAATAAAGTTTGGAGTCACATGCCTGGAAATACCCATTTAATTTGTAAAGTAAGCAACAATAACATTTAACTACTGTTCCATGAAGCACAGACTTCCAAGAAGCTTATATTCACTTTAGTGGGAAGCCAGTTGTATCCAGTGGGCCTGACAACATCCATTTTTGGTTTTGAAGGCACACAGAGTCTGAATCTAGTTCCTAATTTATTTGTTTGGGATTTTTTAAGATTTTCTGCACGTGTTAGTGTAAAAGATACACAATCACACAATATTGCCCCAACTCTCCCAGAGTGAGAATTAAAAACTTTTTTGGGTCTCATTCTTTGCTGAGTAGTCTCCCAAGGGAGCCTCACTGCCCCACACAGTCCCCTCCAAGTGTTTCACATGTAGAGATGCCAATGTATTGTGGTTTCACATTGCCCAGTTTTCATCAGCTCTACATTGTATACTACAGGGTGGCTACTATAATACTGTGAATTATCATAAATAATTCGTAGTAAGATGCACTTGTCACAGCAAATGAGCAAAGTATACAGAGCAAACTGATATCAGGTTTGGTTGCAATATTCTGAAAGCTGCAGTGCTCTTCCAGTCAGTCACACAAACTAGAATGGTGTTTATATTATTGTTAATCTCTGGAGTACCAAATACACCTCATTTCCTAGGCCATAAAAAAGGTGACTGCCAGTTAACACAAGGGAGAGAACTGAGCCTTCCTTTATACCAATCATCTCAACAGCAGTGAAGTCAACAGAATGACTCTGGATTTACAATGATGTAATGAAGGATACTGCTGGGTTTCCTGAGGAAGGACACACATATGCTGCTTCTCTGTCTGACAGATTACGTTCAAAATCACTGCAATGTTTTAGGTAAATAGACGTGCCTTAAAGATCTTCAAAATCTAGCTTTGGTAAGGATTGTTCAGTTTAAGCCTGGGCCTTGGACCAGACTGAGCTGCTGCAGAACAGTATCAGTACAATGAGGCAACTACACCGACCTGTTAAAACTCTCAGCAGAAAAACAAAAAGGGCAGAATATGCCTTAAAATTGTCTCTGTATAGATTTTCTCTCCCTGTTAAGAACATCGCACTTGAAAGCATCTAAAAGCATATTTAAGATTCCAGCTATTACACATGTACAGAAAGGGTACAACCCAGCAGCACACCAGCAATTCTCAGATTCATCAGAGGCTGATGGGAACTGACTTCAGTATGAGCAAAGTTACCCACTAATGAGGTTTCTAAAAATGTCATCAACTATCTCTTTCTTGCTCTCAAGGTGCCATGCCCCTGCAGGCAAGGTAGCGTGCAATCCTTCACCTACTACAAAGGTACAGTTGGTGCTGGTAGACACTCAGCAATGACATTTGTCCATATGCTTCTAAGAGCAAAGCCATGCCACACAGTAATATGCATTAATGCCGTATAAATCCATGTTGTGGTCTTCCTTATTAAGGGCCTGAGATGATGCTGCAGGTTTCCTAGTCAATTAATCTAGATAATCACACAATAGCAGGAAGTCTGGAAGCAGTGTGTGTATTATTACTGAAAATAAATAACCTACCAGCCATCTTTAATATGCCTTAGGGGATACAGAAGGAGATATGCACGAAGAAAATTATTTTTCCCAGGTTTCAAATTAATGGCATGAGACAGACATGGCCAGACATGCAGAGATGTAAAGGTAAGTGGCTTTCTTCAGAGATCTTTGTTTTTTTTGCCTCTTATTTTTAGGTTGGCTGGTGATTTCAATAATTGGTGGCCACTGGGGACAATGACAACAGCGGTTAGGATGGCTCACAGTTTAAGAAAGATGTTTTCCACACATGCAACCCCAGTGAAATGCTTTGTGCCTGACCATAGCACTTCCTGCTCCCCCAGTCTGTTACAATCAATCATGGTCATACTACAGTCAAGGTGTCCTGCATCCTGATTTACACCATTTCTTGCTATTCCAGTTCTAAGATCTTCAAACTCACTTCACACAAGCTCTTAAATTCCATCCTGCTTATTACTGCTGAACTGTCCACAAAGAATCATGCTTTGCAATGTGGGCAAGCAAAGATAAGTGCTAAAATTCACTGCCATGTCTTTCTTAAACCACAGTTCTCCTCAAGGGTGTACTAGTGACTCAAGGTTATTGTCACAGGCTCCCCTCAGTTCTGACCTTTAAAGCTATCACTTACAAAACATACAAGGTAAACTTTTGAATCCAGTGTACCTCTGCTAATAAAAGGATATCCAAGGTGTCAGGGAGGAGATAGCCTTTGGACTCTAAGAAGGATGTAGAAAAAGCTGAGAACCACCAAGAATTTGGTCTGCACACCAATTCTACCACAGGAAGTTCCCCTGCTTTTACAGTGTAAACTGCCTAGCAGTTAAAGTTTAGCTAACCAAGATTCCACAGCTCCTGCACATTTTAATTTTACCCACATATGAAGCGTGATCTGCCTAGGATCGCATCACTGGATTTAGACTGAACAGACTCTCAGGGACCACAACACCTCAGCGGTCTAATATCATCCATGTGTCATTTTGTATTTACTATGAGGAACATCTTTTCACTCCCTGTAAATTATTGGCCAGAATGACTAACGGTGCATGTGATGTATGTAAGGGCAAGCACCAGCTATTAATAACCCATGTTTTCTGTATTTCTGTTGTTCCTTTCACCCAGGGATTCCACAGAGCTGACAGTGATGAAATTGGCTCCACTGCACCCAGGAGAGGCAGATAGAGTTATTATCCCTGTCTTGCAGATGGAGAAGTCATGTGGCAAAATTAAGAGAATGGGATTTGGCCATGGAAGTCTGAGGCTGAATAAGGATTAGACTCAAGAGTCTAACTATATCTGAAGCTATTAGTAAAAGAGTTTAACAGAGATGCATCTCATTGACATCTTTCTCTGATATCCTGTCTTCTTCTCACTTCCTGTTTTCAAAAGCCTCCATAAAAAATTAATAAATATTAATGTATTGTTTTATTATAGTTGACTCAGTGTGACTGAACAGCTCACAGCACAAGGAACAGTCAGCACTATATAACCCAGATGTCTTGTTCAAATATACTTCTTTTTTATACTACATCCTACACTACGCACACTGCTTAGATCTGAAAATCACATTTGAACATGCCCTGTTACCTCCTATTATTATAAATACATTATATAATTCCTAATATATTATTTAGTTGCAACAGAATGCGTCTGAGAATTAGTGTGGCAAATACACTTCAGGCATCGTTGGTGTCACTCGGTTGATCTAACAGTGTGTATAGTTCATAGCTATTAGTCTGTGGTTTCTGATCAGAAAGATCATCTTTCTGTTCTGTCTAGTGCATAATGTAATAGCAGGCTAGGAATATTGCTTTTGGATGTCGTTTCTTTAATTAAATAAACCTTGATTATTCAAAACTATTCCATGATGCTGTGTAACCAGTTATAATGCAGGAGCTCAGGAAGGACTGTGACGGATTGCAGAGAAAATAGTGAATTGCAGAGGTCAGCCCAGTCAGCATCACTGTGTCAGTTTGGCAGTCAAAACCTGCCCTGGAATGGGGCACATTTGTGGCCTTAACTTCTGTTCTTGCTCTGTAGTGTGTGCACTGTCAAGAGAAAATAGACTTGAGCAACTTCACCTCTAAATTAACAATGCTTTTTGGATGTCTTCAGCTTCTGCTGAAAGGCAGCCAACTCCAGGTTGAACTGAGGCGCTGCCTGAAAGTGCACAGAAAAGAAGCAAAAATAAAAATGCATCTAACTGAAAATGCCAGGGAGCCACGATATTCTCACCAGCGATGGAATTGAGCTCAGACACCGTGGCCAACCTTCCTAACCTTACAAGAACAGGTCTTTAATGAACAAATCTTGCTAAAACCAAAACCACAGACAAATCCAATTGCTCTACCAAGGCCAGGTAGAAGTCCTGGCTCGGTGCTGACTCAAGAAACCGAGTGCCACCTACTGAGTCCCAAATGACATCTCTGTCCTCTGCTTTGCATAAGGAGGAATTGCTATATTATTCCTTTAAAGAGTTGATGAAAATCTGCCCTTTCCTCCTGAGGAGCAGTTCCCTTCCTCCCCTCTGGATTGCATGTTGAATTAGACACTGTTACGCTCACTAGCAACTATCCTGACTGGAAGGAGGTCGTGCTTTAATTCCCAGGACTGCTAGTCAGGCTAGAAATAGAAATCATCTTTTGTAAAGAGCATTAGCGGATGTCAGTGTGGAAAGTTTACTCCAGGAAGCAGCTATTCACATAGGTATCTGAATACGGAGGAGAGAGAAAGAGAAAAAGCAGGAAGAGAACCTTCCCTGTCTTTGGAAGCATTACTTCTCCCAGATATGAGTAGGCATATTTTGCATTATTCACAGAGATAATAGGAGTAACATGGTGATTCACTGCTCCCAAAC